TTAGCATTTGATATCCTAACAATTCTCAGTGTTCCTAAAATTTAAATTCTGTTACTTATGCAGAATCTTGTATAACGAGAGATATATTATGCTTTTACCAGCTTATTTTCTTCCTAAGTTCTTATTCACGCTCAATTAAGTCTCTCTCTCTCTCTTTTTTTTTTTTTTCCGCACGAATTTGTTAGAGAAAAATGCAACTTCGGATAAGCACCATGATAAAAAATAATTCCATCATAACTTCTGCTAGAATCAATGCACTACTGAGGCAAACACAAAAATATAAAATTTCTTGGTAATCTTAAAAGTAATTCTGAAATGGTAAACATTTAAAAAATTGTTCGCTAGAAAAAGTGTTTTTTTTTTTCCTCTCTTTTCTTTCGTTAAACCTCTATTTTAACGAGTATCAAATTCTGATTTTTTTTTTATTTCCAATGAGCTGCACAATCGGTCTGGTCGATAAGCAGACCTAGTGCGTTCTCCAGAGGTGGTATCCACTCTTTCAGGACCACCACAATGGGTGAGATACCGTTGATCATGTTAATTTGGACGTCTAGCTTCTGCCACATTAGATGGCAGCACCAAGACTCTATTTGGATGCTAAAGTGCACTAGGAATTTAATTTTGCCGGAAATGCAAAGAGCCAATAAGGCACTCCAGGGATCTTTTACATGCCGCATAATCATACGACATGGCTGAGGATTTTCTGCATCCCGAAAATCCGGTGTCTGGGCCGGGGATTTCTGATTTTTAACAGAAGAATTATTTAATCAATGTGATAAATATTCCCCCTCTTTTAAATTTGGCTACAATTCGATTCAATTTTGTTTTTATAAGAAAGTTCGACGTGGAAATTTCAAATTGCATGTTTCAGTGATCACTTTGCAACATGCTCAATACCATCGTTAATCCCAGTTTAAATCTTTTTTTTTTTCAAGTTAATGCACTTGATTTTTTCATGGTTTTTAAAATATCTTTCAAAGAAAAGTTATAAGTCTACATTGGAAATGTTTCTTTTATTTATTTTTTTTAAGTTGAAATCAAATCTGCAAGATCGGTATTTCTTTTTGCATTTTTATTAAAAGTTTTGCTTTATTATCTAGAATTTTAAACAAGCCCATAAATTAAGTTCATCAAAATTAAAATTATCCATATCCTAAATCAATCCATAAAAAGAATAATAAAGAAAAATGTTAAAAGATAATTTTTGCTACTTTCTTACTACTTTTCCATTTCTTAGAGTAAGAGTTATTTAAATTAAATATTTTTTTCCTTTTTTTAAACATCAATTTAAAAATTTTCATAGAATGTTAATCTATGATTGTTCAAATGTTTTAATGATTTTCATAGTTTAAAAAAATATATATATACGTATTAATACATTTCTGCATTAAGTCTCAGCAAGCAAAATTACATTAGCAACTTAGTGTGAAATAAATATCACTTTTAAAATGATATTTTAAAAATCTTATATATCCTACCTATGGATTTTTCAGAAAGTATATAGGAATGTGAAAATTTATTGTAGATATTGAATAGGGATTTTTTAAGTTTGTTTTTTATTTGATAATGATACATTTCTATTCCATTTGTAATAAATCCTACATTTCCAATTTTTAACTCTGCAACATAGTTTTAATACATTGTTATGATTTATTTTTAATAACATTTCAATTTTAATTATATTTTTAAAGTATTAAAAAATTAGATTTTAATTGAAAAAAATCACTAACTTTGTTTATTGGTTGGAATACTTGTTAATGAAGATAATTTAAATTATAAAATAGTTAACTTTTCTCTCATTTAGACAAATGGAAAAGCAAATAGCTGAAACACAGAATAAAATAAAAGTAAAGGAAGAGGAATTAGAAGCCTTGAAACAACAAAATATTGAAGTAAGTTTTTTTAAAGAATTATTTTTCTTCTATTCACAATGCAGTGATTTATCAACTTTTTCTTTTCTCACTAGACTTAGTTTATAACGGCAGGTTCCCACGGGTCAGAGAGAACAAGGAAAACCTGGAATTGTTAGGGAAATTTANTATAGGCAAAGCATTTAGGTATTATATTTGAAATTAATTATTGCCACAACAAGCATTGTTGCTTCTAGTAAAATAGAAGAGAATAATTTTTAAAATTGGTCTTAGATTAAGGTCCTTGAAAATTTTGTTGAGGTCCTTGAAAAGTCCTTGAATTTCAATCTCATCATAGAGTGGGAACCCGTAATCAGTTATTGAGATTCAAGTTAAATAATTCTAACATCTATTACAATTATTTGTTTAAAAAAATTTCATTTTTTAGTCAAACTGAAAGGTTCCCCATCCTCATTTAATGATATTTTTTTACACATATAATCTTATATTTCGCATTACAAATAAAAGAATTAAAGTTTTATAATGAAAACGTGGTCTCGATTTTCATTGAAATTTACCTAGTTTACCTGGAAAAGTCAAGGATTTTTTTTTTGAAATTGAGTGGGAACCCTGTAACAGTGCTTGATTTTTTTACCTTTTCCGTGTAATATTGTTTACATTTGTTAAAGTATCTTACAATTTTGAAATATAAGTGTTCTATCATAATCTATTTTTAAAGAGGACTTATGTTATCTTTTATTTCCTAAATATGTAAGTTTTTGTAGGGGTGGCAATTTTCTACGCTTTATTGGAACATTTATTTTAGTGGTAGCTAAGTTTATGTTTTAATGTATGATTCCTTGCTTTGTAAATTTGACTTACAGTTACTTTATACAATTAGTAACAAGTAAACAAATAAATGATTCAAAAGTTTCATATAAAACGCAACTTTTTCCCATGACTTTTAACAGGTTGGGAAATTTTCAAAAATTCTTATAGCTTTACTTTTTATCTATCTCTCAATAAATTATTTTGCAGAAAGCTTGGTAGTTAAAAGCCTTACTTTTGTATCCAGATAAATTTCATATAGATTGGGGTTATGATTTGCCGTTTTTAATTAGATTTTAAAAAAAAGAAATTTCAAAAATATTTGTTCTGGTTTTCAAAATTAAACTTGTAAATATAATTTTATCTATGTGTAATTTATATTTATGCAAAACAGTATCTGCAGTCAATTAAAAATAATATGAATTAATATTATCTAGATATAAGTGCTTATTTATTTAAGTAAACTAACGGGAAAGTCCAGTCCGAGATAGCCTGGTTGGTGAGGTACTGGACTCGCGTTCGTGAGAAAGGGAGTTCGAATCCAGCCGACCGAAGACTTCCCCGTGTAGTAAATAGTGACTGGTGTTTGTTAGAAATGAGCAGAAATTCCAATCCTAAAAAGTGTATTAAAACATATACACTTTTTTCATTTTATAAAATAGTGAAATATTGTCTTTTGTAGATTGAACTATTGCTTACACAAATAAAGGAGGAACTTCATAAAAAGACCAAACAGCATGAAGAAACAGTTTCAAAGTTAACAGATACTTTATGTCACACTGAAAAGGTATTTGTTTATTTCCTGCCATTAGTTTTTAAAATATTTTGACCCATTAAGGGTTAAATTATTTAGCTGCAAATTAATTGTGTTTTTATTTAAAATTTATATGGAAACTACTTAGCATTTGAGTTTTATTTATAAAACCTTAACATTCACAAGTTTTCAGTTTGAAAGATTTTTGTGAATGAGAAATTAGAACTTACAGTTCCAAGACTAATTGTTTAAAAGATAGGGATAAAATGTAAGTTAATTTCAGACTTCAATTGAAGAGCAATTAGCCTGTTTTTGCTATCTAGATTCAAGTTGCTTATAAGGTGAAAGAGCTTATCTAAACTTCCATGAAAAGAAAAAAGTCCCTTCTCCAAAATTGCTTTCTTTTTTTCCTTCAAATGTGCTCCAAAACCATGTAAATCCAATTATACTTCTGTAACTGATTATACTTGTAACTACAGATAAAAAAAATGTCCTCATTTTTAGGCTGTTTGCTAAATTTTCTTCTAATAATTTAATGTTTTGACAAAATACTTTTTTTCATACACTAAATTAAATAAGGGGGTAGAAGTGTAAAGTACAGCAATCATGGGTATCAAAATATATAATTACGTAAAAAAGAATTCAAAATTAGATACTTTGAATAGTTCAAATTAATTTTAAATGCAAGAAATATTGTTATTCTTGTCATAAAATTTTAAAACGTCTAGTTGAGGGTCATATATACTTATTTACTATTTATAAAAGATTAAGTCAAATCTCATATGATTAAGATTGGTTTCTCAAGAATTTAAATTGATCTCTTCGTACAGTTTATTAAAAAATTTATTTTAATTCAATTAACAATTCAGGTTTTTTAAAAGGGTAAACTGAAGTATAGTTCACAAATTATTTTCTATTTTATTTTTTTAAAAACTATGAGTTGCATTTAAAATTAATGAAACACTTTTAATTTAAAAAAAATTTTATTCATTAAAAAATATTAATCCTAATTGCAGTTTCCATACAGTTCATTAACATATTGGTTGTTTGAAGAAAAAAAAATTATTCCAGTTCAGAGTTCAGTATACATGGTTCAGTATACATACATACATATCAGGGATGAGATTTTTCCACTTTTTAGCGGATTTCTGTTTTTTTTTTTTTTTTTTTTTTTTTTTTTTTTTTTTTTTTTTTTTTTTTTTTTTTTNGATTTTCAAAGAGAAACAGAAAATTCAAACTACATAGCTACCAATCCTTTCTCATTTTTACTTATTTTACCTATTTTCTCCCCTTTTACACGCAGCAGATAAGATTTTCCAAATTTTTCACCCGCTCTCCAGATAGATCCGATTTTCGTAGTTCAAACGCCTTCTGACAAGCCTTTTAGAGGTCCCAAGCCTGGAATCTGCTAATATCTCGATTCTTATTCACACGATTGTAATATCAAATATAGCTTTTCGTGTTTGCCTGTTGCGATTCTTATTCACGCGATTTGAATATTGTACGTTGCGATTCTTATTTACGAGATTTAAAAATCCGATATTGTGATTCGTATTTACGTCTTTTAGAAAACCTATGTATCGATTCGTATTCACGCAAGTTTAAAATTCAATGTGTTGCTCTTGCGTAAAATTTACTATCGTGGAAATTCAGCTTTTTTGCGTTTTGTCTAATCTCATCCCTGAGTATATAAGTAATGATATTTTGAAACAACTGAAGAGATTTAAAATAAGATAACTTAAGATTTAGATAACTTAAAAGTCAAATTACTAATTATGTTTATAAAGAAGAAATTTTTTAATTTAATTTGTTATAATTATTAAATTTAGAATTTTGAAAACATGTTTATGAAGCTTAGTGTTGCCACATTAAACTCAGCCTTTTTTCTAAATCTATTAAACTCACCTGATTTCATTAATTTTCCTTTGCTAATTAATTATGTATGTCAGGCTGGCGTTACTGCAGTCATATAATTTTATTTACTACTATGTTTTTTCCCCACCTTGCTTATGATTTTAGCACTAAATGATATTTAAATTACAATAGAACCTCAATTATTCAAACTTCTTCAGTAAAAATATATTCCAATTTTTCCCTCACACATACTTACTTAACAATATACATATTTATTATGGTTTTTTTTTAATTAACTCGTTTTCAATAATATGCTGTCTTATTTTGTTATTTGGTGAAGTTGATTGCTTTTGTTCTATTAAATAAAATTAAAAGTGGTAATTTTTCATTTCACATTTTTTTTAAAAACTTAACTGCTTGCTTAAATGAAGAGAATTATGTTATTCACGCACGAAAATACATTATTATACCATTGAAATCAGAAAAAGAACTTAAAAAGCTTGTAAAGGATTACATATCTATTAAATCAGCTAACGCTTCAGAATAAGTTTCTTGTACAAATTATAACATTATATGTGAAAATAATTTATTCAAAAAAGAAAAGGAGTGCTGTTATCTAGTACAAATGAATTTGAAAATTAATAAGATTTATGATCTTTTCTATATCTGTTTGACAAAAAGACATATCCTGAATGATCGAATTAAAATTAAATTTAATGGATGCTTAACATAATTATTTTTTTTTAAAAAAAAAGACTTTTAAGAGATGATTGATAGAGATTAAAAAATAATATAAACTCTATAATTCGAATATTTTTGTTATTTGTAGTAGGTTTGGTCATTGAGTAACTGAGGTTCTACTGTATTTAATTAAAGGAAAGGTAACCACCAGGCTTTTTTTTTAAACTTCATTTTCTTTTTCATCCTTTCTATTAAAACAACTTTTTATAGGTGCTGTCGAAAACAGCTTTAGAAAGAGATGAAAAGAACTATCTTCTGAATATTCACCATCATAAAGAAAAGCAATTAGTTGTACAAAATCAGGAGGTAAGTTAGTGTTATATATATATATTTGTGTGGGGGTTAACTATAACTTAACTGTTGGCATTTAAATTGTTTAATCTATTGAAACTCTTTCCAGCTGCATCATGTGGTAGACGAAAGCACTTGTGACGTAAATAAACTTCACATGAAGGTGGAACGAAAACAAAAAGTGGAAATAAGTAATGAAGAACGCCTCAAGCAATTTCAGCAAGTATCTCACAAGCAGTTTGCTAACTTAGATGACATGGTTAATAGTTTAAAACAGAAACAGGAAACTAAATTTGGAAACTTACAAGAAAGTTTAGGTAAATCTATTTTTAGAGGATTTTAATTTTTTGATCGTTGGTAGCTATGATATTGCGACTGCTGCTATTTGATGCGAATTTCGTAGTTGTTATGGCATTACTGTTGGGAAAAAAAATTGTAACTTTTTATTCCGATATTCCTCATTTTTGCTTGTGTTCACAATTATTGATTCATCTAATTTTAAAAGCGATAGATTATAATCATATTGTAGAAATTTTACTTGGCGGATTGAGGGATCATCCACCATATTACTTTTGGACAAAAATGTTCAGTGATATATTAAACGGGCTTTCGTTTTGTTATTATAGAAACCTTAACAGGGTTCTCCTTCATAAAATATCATTTTATAAAAACGGACATTGACAAAATATTTTAACTTTAAAAAAAAAACGGACCCTTCACAAAATGGTTTTTCTTTTAATCGGACTCTTCACAAATTTGTTTATTATCGTTATTGTTTTTTAATCAAATAAACCCTTCTGAAGAAGAAAAAAATAAAGATAGATGCAAACGAATTAAGTTTTGTCTTCGGCAGACGCTTCTTCCTCTATTCGTTCGAAATTAATATTCTGCGTTCAGGAGTATAGGCTAAATACCAAATATTTGTATGTTGCATCTCTAATTCAGAAGCAGCAATTGCTGTTTATTTTTGAAAATTTAGTTTTTTTTTTTTTAAATTATAGTTTTATAGTGTTGAGCATAATCTTGTATCTATTTACATCATGAAAAAGTTTTTTGCAATAACAGGACCCTATTTGCACAAATTCATAAAAGCAGGACCCTGGTTGAAAGAATGTGACTTAACGTTTATTTTATATTCACAAATTACGAGTAATTTTTTCACAATTTTACAAAAACGGGCCTTTTGCAAAATGTCTGGACAGATCCCTGCTTAAATTACAATTATTTGATTAATGAAGTAAACTAAATTACAAGTTTTAATTAAGTATTAATGGGAAGCAATATTAAAAAATGAATACCGTTTCTATTTATTTTTTAAATTTTTTTTTTCCCCAATAAAACTGTGGTATAAAAATTTTTATGCTTTGATCTCAAATTATTATGAGTTGTTCAATGCCTGATGCAATTATGTTGGAAAATGTATTATCTTTCTTTTCTTAACAAGCTAATTCTAAAACTAAAAATGATGTAATTTATTATTCTTTTGCTATAAAATTTGCTTTTAATATTCTTGAGTAGAGCAAGTCATACTTCTTTTTGTTGCCCTTTTTAAAAATAGTCTCATGTGTATACAATTGTACAAAAAATTTCCTGATTTTTTCACTCATTTTTCCTTTGGTTATTTAAAGATCAATACATATGTCGATATTCTTATTTGAGCCATGGTGGTTCAGAAGGTAGAGCATTCCCTTGCCAATGACGTGAACCAGGTTCGAATCTCAGCAATTTGGGCGTACAAATTCCGCACCTGGCTCGCACTGACCATAGTGCTGACGTAAAAATATCCTAAATGGAAGATAGATCATGGGTTATAGAATCCCCTTGAGGTCAGGCTATTCATGAAAGATTTCCCCCTCCAAGTAACACAAATTTGGGTTGGTTCCATCAAAAAGTCCTTCATAAAGGCAAGTTTCTCCCAATACTTGATCCAGGAGCTCCCTTGTTTTCTGGATTAGGTTCAAAATTACAAGGCTATAGAGTTGAAACTTAATAGTTGTGAGCCCAAAAATTGGGTCTTCTGTTCAACGATAATTATAGATATATTATAGATTAAAAAAAATTGTTTTTATTATAGATATATTGCAAATATAATTATATTTTTCAGATGGTATTTCCTCTGACATTAAGAGCTCATTTCAACAAGCTACAGATATTTTTCATAGAGTTGACTCAAACGTAAGAAGTTCATTAAATGACTTTTCTTCAGTGTTGAACAATGAGGCAGTAGAACAACAGAAAATTTCAAATTCACTATTAGAGAATTTGAATTCCAAAAAGGTAAAGTTGATCTCTCTAAATCTGNTTTTTTTTTTTTTTTTTTTTTTTTTTTTTTTTTTTTTTTTTTTTTTTTTTTTTTTTTTTTTTTTTTTTTTTTTTGTGCATTTGGTAACAAAACAAAAACAAGCTAATGTTGGGAGAGGCTAAAATTGAACTTTTTATCAAATAAACTATCTGATATATGAGCAATGATCCATTTTCATTTTTATATTTTCATGTAAGGAATAGACCGTAAATATAAATGACTGTAAGGTGTTGATCAGAAGATTCTCAAACAAATTTTCACATCAGATGTGATGCAATAAATTTCAAAACAAAAGTAAAATAGTTTAATCTTTGTGTGACCCTTCGTTTCATTAAAATAAGAGGGAATTTTATTTCTTATTTTCGTTTTCTGACCACTCCTAGCGCAATTAAGCTTTATAATTTTCCTCCCGAAATTTAAGATTGATATTTATTTCTTGTGTTTGTATATAATCCTTTTTTTTTTTATCTCCATTTTTATGATAGTGCTTCATTTTTAAAAGCGTTTCTTATAGTCTTTATCTCTTTTAACATTTTATGTATAACAATTTTTTTTCTATTTATCTTTTTCAACTTTACAACTATAGTTTTTTAATACCCACTAGTCAGTTTTTTATTTTACTTAAATATTTCTAATTATTTTAATATCTATTTTTTTTTTAAACATTTCCATTAAAGTTTTTTTTCCCTCTTTTACCCCATACCAATAATGCAGCTACGTTTTGATTATTTTTCATTAGGAACTCAACTTATTTCTATGTGAAAAATAATTTAAATTTTTTTTTTTTTTTAAATGTTACTATTGGCTGATATTTTTGGCCGAATAATCGGTTATTTGGCCAAATCACTACTCGTTACAACTCTAGTGGGTATATTATAACTAAAAAAAAATTATTTTATTGAAGTTAAATATTCAACTTAATTTAACTGAGAATACTTTGAGCTCTTATACATAATTTTCTACAGCTTATTTTTGTACTCTTTGTCATATGTATTATTTTCCTTCAGAATACTCTTAAGGCTGAGCAAGATCTATTTTGTTCTGAAAACATTCCAACATTTGCTGAAAAGTTTTCTAGTATGATGGTAGAGATGAAAAGTTGGTTCCTTACTAACCATTATCACATGAGTCAAAAGGNTTTATTATTAAAGGGTTGCGCTTGCGTAAAATTTGCTATTGTGGAAATTCAGCTTTTTTGCCTTTCGGCTAATCTCATCCCTGTCTTTAAAAGTTATGGTGTTCTTTCAAAAAATGAAAGAATAAACATTTCTAGAGTGAATTAATTATCTTTTAAACTTCTGTGATTTCAGAATTTTTGTTATTTTTTTATTTTATAACTGAAGCAAGCCAGTCATTGGGAAAAAAATTTTATTCAGAAATGAGAACAGAAAAATCGGGAGTATATCTTTCTTTCGAATGAACAAGAAAACAGGGTTGCCACAGGTGACTAAAATGCAACTATTTTCGGCATGAGGCGACTATGGCAACTTTTTTTGCCTGAAAAGGCTAAAAAAGCAACTATTTCCAGGAAGAGGAGACTATTGGGAGACTTTTCTGTACTCCTAGCGTTGTTTTTTTTTTTTTTTTTTTTTTAAATCATAAATTGGGTTCAAAATCTGCCGCCCAAGATAGCTTTTGAACACATTGTACTTTTGTTTCTTAAAAAATGAAAAATTTTGAATTGCAAATTTGAGTTTTCACTTTTTAATTCATTCAATCTGCAGATTCTTTTGTAAGTCTATTTCGTTTCTATGTCGCCTTCGAAATTCCGCATGATTTTTAAAAAAAAAAAAAAGAATTTAATACGATATTACGATGTGTGAATTTCGAATTTGAGTAATCACTTTTCACAATATATATGTGAGTGTATATATCCTAGATAAATTATTGATGAAAGAGAAAATTGTGCTAGAACATTAACGTTTATATAAAAATTATCATATTTACCACCAACTTGACTAAATGGATCATGATATATAACAATTAAGTCATTAACAAAATTTTTGTCATATTTTTAATTAATTTTTGTTCTTATTTAAGCAACTATATTCATAGTTTTCGGCAACTATTTTCATACTTTAGGCTACTAAAAGCAACTATTTCGTCCATTTTTTTCTGTGGCAACCCTGAGAAAAACATCTTTAGAATATAATTCTGCTGAAAAAATTATTTGCTTTTGTATTTTTTTCAGCTATTTTATTGCTTCAACTCTTACTTTACTCTCTTTTTTCAAATTTAAAATCTATAAATATGAAGAAGCAGAGTATGACAGTTTTGGTTATACCTATCATTTCAATTTATGTTATTATAATGGTTTTTTAAATTTCTTGTTGTGTTTTTATCGGAGAAAATAGCAACTTCGTTAAGTCATGAAGAATTCTAGGAAAGTCATGAATTTGAAAATCTAAAATGTAGCAGATACCCTGTTAATAGTTGTGAGCCCAAAAATTGGGTCATCTGTTCAACGATAGTTATATAATTTTAAGAAAATTGCTTTATTGTAAAATATTGCAAATATAATTATATTTTCCAGATGGTATTTCGTCTGACATTAAGAGCTCATTTCAACAAGCTACAGATATTTTTCATAGAGTTGACTCAAACGTAAGAAGTTCATTAAATGACTTTTCTTCAGTGTTAAACAATGAGGCTGTAGAACAACAGAAAATTTCAAATTCACTATTAGAGAATTTGAATTCCAAAAAGGTAAAGTTGATCTCTCTAAATCTGTTTTGTAAACACCAAAATAAGTTATTAGTAAGTGTGTAGTCTCAAATTTATTATTATTTTTTTTTTGTGCATTTGGTAACAAAGCAAAAACAAGCTAATGTTGGGAGAGGTTAAAATTGAACTTTTTATCAAATAAACTATCTGATATATCGTCAACTCTAATTTTGTTACCTTTGGAAAAACTTTCATTTTTAATGGGAACACAATATTTATTTTCACCCTGCCTGGCTTGTAAGAAAACTGATCATTCAGGTTGCCAATCCACAGAGAAAACCTTGAAAGTACAGGAAGTTTAAGAATCACCTAAAATAACGGGAAAAGTGCAGAGAATTATGAATTTTTCCTTGCAAACGGAGAAAATAAGAGGGAATTTTATTTCTTATTTTTGTCTTCTGACCTCTCCAAGCGCAATTAAGCTTTATAATTTTCCTCCGAAATTTAAGATCGATTTTTATTTTTTGTGTTTGTGTGTAATCCTTTTTTTATCGCCATTTTTATGATAGTGCTTCATTTTTAAAAGCGTTTCTTATAGTCTATCTCTTTTAACATTTTATGTACAACAATTTTTTTTTTCTATTTATCTTTTTCAACTTTACAACTGCAGTTTTTTTTTTAATACCTGCTAGTCAGTTTTTTATTTTACTTAAATATTTCTAATTATTTTAACATCTAGTTTGTTTTTTTTAAACATTTCCATTAAAGTTTTTTTCCCTCTTTACCCCATACCAATAAAGCAGCTGCGTTTTGATTATTTTTCATTAAGAACTAAACTTATTTCTATATGAAAAATAATTTAAATTTTTTTTTTTTTTTTTAATGTTACTATAGGCTGATATTTTTGGCCGAATAATCGGTTATTTGGCCAAATCACTACTCGTTACACCCCTAGTCGGTATATTATAACTAAAAAAAATAAAATTTTTCATTGAAGTTAAATGTTCAACTTAATTTAACTGAGAATACTTTTAGCTCTTATACATAATTTTCTACAGCTTATTTTTGTACTCTTTGTCATATGTATTATTTTCCTTCAGAATACTCTTAAGGCTGAGCAAGATCTGTTTTGTTCTGAAAACATTCCAACATTTGCTGAAAAGTTTTCTGGTATGATGGTAGAGATGAAAAGTTGGTTCCTTACTAACCATTATCACATGAGTCAAAAGGTAAGATTTCTCTTCTAAAAACTAAATGTACACTTTATTAAAATATCAAGAATAAATTTAGTTCCTATTTAAACAATTTTATTTTGTGTACACTATTGTATGTTGTATGTACTTAAGGTTATTCGTATGTATAAATATAATTTTAAAAATGTTAAAACTTTAAAAAAAGTAAGGTATCAGGAGTCTGTCCAGACCAAATTCACAACCGTTTAGTGGTACCTTCACAAATTCAACTTTAGGAAAAACGGTAGTTTCGCAAAATACTTTATCTTGAAATTTTATTTTTGTATCCCGTAAGAAAAGATGAATCCATATTGTGTTGATTTTTTAATATAACTTTTTAATTTTCACAAATTATGTCTAAATTTTCCCAAAATAGGTTGGTATGGTATCTATCAGAAAAAACTAGCCAGACCCCTGGGTTTAGATTCTCAAATCATTGCGGCATGTGGAGAGTCTACTTTGCATATTTATAACATGTTATGATCAGCTTTTATGTATTTATATGTGAGTTAAAAATATAGTGAGAACATGGAAAATAATGAAGATTAATGAAAAAAGTAGAAGAAAAATTATTAAAAAAAATAAATAAATTAAGGAAACGTAAAATGAAAAAATATTATCTCTTCATCAGCTCGCACGATTATGTGCAGTTATTATACGAGTTCTATATGCTTACAGCTTATGCACAGTAAATAAAGCTTATAAATTTTTTTCTTTTAATCCTTTTTGTCTTTCTTGTGCTATATATGACCATGAATAACCATATATTATTTACCATGAATAGCTGAAATCCAGAAAATGTCAACAACCGCATTGGTGAATGTCCAAAATATTTGTTATATCTGATTTGATATTAATTTATTCATTGATATTATATTTATTCGATATTTTAATATCTGCTGAGGATAGATTTGGATAAACAGTGTTCGGAGTACTGGGCAAATGTTTACTGGGCAGTGGCACTGAACTTTAAAAGCCATCAGTTTTTGGTAAACTTAACTAGTCCTTGTATATATTTCAGACTTTTACCTAAGTGATTCTCAACATTCACCGGTGGAAGTCGAAAACCACCAATTTCAGTCACTTACAGTAACATATACATTCTTAAATTCATAAACTATAATGTTTTTCCTCTGCACTTTTAATTTGTTTGAACTTAGAGTTGCTCCTCAATTCCGAATTTGGTTGACTTAATAAACTTAATGAGCTGCTGCATCTTAACTCATTGAAATATTTAATTAACAAGCAAATAAAATATTTTGATCCTTTCATTTATTTAAATATTTCACAAATGCTATTTTTTTCTCGTCTCTTGATTGATGATTGAAAATATTGGCTCTCTTGTTTAAAGCTTAAAAAGCTTTCTGTTAAATATTAATATTTAGCCTCCAATTTGTTACTTTGGGACAGCATTTAAACTTAAATATCAATTGCTAATGGATTTTCTGTACTCAAATTATTAGTTTCCATTCTTTCTTTTTTTTAAATGCATTCTTTGTTTTTCTCTTACATTTTTTCCCCCTTTCATTTCTTTCTTGAAATTTTGAATCTGTAATTTCTGCATTAAAAAATAAAAATGATGGAATTTTTTTGGTATTTCAGATTGAAAATTTTCATAAACAAATGAAGGACCATAAAGAAGAAGGCAGTAAATTTATGAATGATGTTATATCAACAATAGACACCATTAGAGAGAGTCATAACAATGAATTAGCTGCTTTAGAGGAACAAATAAATATCCTTTCTTCCAGACAGTCGCAAACAGAAGTATGATTTCATTTCCTTTATTTCATATCTTCAAAGTCTCCATAGCTTAACATAATATAGAAACAATAAGATTCATTATGAGGCCAAAACATAAATACACACAAACTTTCTTTTGCATTGTTTCCTTGAAAGTTGTTGTTAAAATAGATGAAGACTAACAATTTACTTTGTAATCTTATATATATATTATTTTTCTTCCCAAGTAAAAGACTTTTTTTTAGAAAAAAAATTAATGATTTAAGCAATTTTTTTAACAGTTTATAATTGGAATCCTAATCTTGTTTAATTTAATAATTTCCAAGAAAACCTCTTTATGAAGTTATATTTTTCGAAAGAAAATATTTGTAATAGTTTGATTTTAAATTTTATTATTTAAAATTAGTATATTTTTTAAAATGATGCAAGCATCTTTTATTCAGTATATTTAAGTGTTTTTTGAAAATGATGAAATTGAATAATGAAATATTTGCGTGGAATTATCATTGGATAAAGAAGTTTCATAATTATGTGTAAGAAGTTTTTGACTTGCTGAAGCAGTTCCTAAAGTATATGCAAAAGAAGAGGAAATTAGCCATAAAGTGCCAAAATTATTTACTGCTAGCCTACCTAAACTATTTAGGATCCTATTTACCTAATTGTTGCAAAAAGACTTATGTTATGTGGGTCAGAAATCCGAATTTTTCTAAAAACAGTTATGTTTAATTTTCCAGAAAAAGTATGTTTTCGTGTCTCGTTACTTAATTTCAAGTATGGTCTACATAAATAGTTTAGCATATTTAAGATTAACCTTTTCATTCATAAGATTACAAATCTTTAAGGTGTTCTGTTTNTTTGTACAACTTATTAAAAATCTGACAGTAATATTCAATGTTCTTTCAAACATAAAAAAGCCCTTCATAAAATTTTGATAAAGTTGTGGCCCGCCATTTGATTTGTGATTTTAATTGTGGCCCGCGGCCTCATGTAAGTTGGAAACCCCTGGTCTACATAAATAGTTTAGCATATTTAAGATTAGCCTTTTCATTCATAGGATTACAAATCTTTAAGGTGTTCTGTTTTTTTAATTTGTTTATATATTACTTTGTTACTTTATTTAACAATAAAGTAAAATAAAAAATTAAGCAATTATATACAACAAACTACAGTAGCAAATCTTTATAACACAAACCTTAAAGCGCCTGGATTTTTGTTCTATAGAATTTTGTGTCGTGTAAATAATTTTGTGTATTTCTAAATTTATCGACTAAAATGCTTTTTAAATTAAGTATCAAATGTGCACATAAGTATTTATTATTTACGGGAAAACAACTAATTTTTCTAGAGCATTAAAACTTTGCAAACCGAAATTGGTCAACTTGGTTTACTGAACTTTTGAAATTGCTCTACTTAAGGAGCCTTTAGTCTCTCGTATTCTTTTAGCAAATAATTTATTATTCCTTTTCTTAGTTGCAGAAATTTATCAACTGCATTTTTTATTGTGTACTCTCATAAACGTTAATAACTTTCATCAAGCTCATATTATCAAGGTTCGGCTCATTCTTAATTTTATATTTAAGCTAAAAATTTAAAACATAATGATTTTGCTGGGTTATCTTCATTCATGTACTCATTTCTTATTTAATTTTTAGTTGCTAAGAAAATGCATTAATTAAATATTTTTCTCCCACCCAAGATTGCAGAAAAAAATAGTTCTTACAGTTGATGGCAAATTTTCTCTGATCTACATAAGTAATTTTAAGTTCAGTAAAAGTGAATTCAGGTCAACCCAAAATAAACCATGAAATTTCAGGTGCTGAAAAAATGTTTTCTAACGAAGTTATCCTACCATAATTCATTTGCATTTTGATAGTCCGAAAACATTTTTTCAGAATCTGAAACTTTATGAACTCACTTTTTCTGAACTTTAAATTTTTAATGTACCAATGGAAGAGAAACGGAATTTTTTATGAAAAGTTCCTCTTTCGATATATCGTCCTTTGAATTTTAAACAGTTATTTTATATTCACTATTTTAAGTTCACAGATTGACTGAACACAGTTATACTTATATTAATTATTATTGCTTATTATATTTTTATTACATAGAAATTGACTAAGATTTGTGAACTTAGCAAATTAATTTGCGAACTTACTTCTGATGTTTCCAAAGATCTATCTCTTCAAAAAGAAATGAACTCTTCAGTAAGTATCTTCACTAAAAAATTATAATACTAACTTATTAATTTTGTCTTGTATTTTAACATAGTTGTACCTTACAGATTATGACCAGGCATCAAAACCATAAATTGAATCTTGAATCTGATTTAATTGCCACTAAAAAGTAAGTTGAGTAAGAAGTAGTTGTGTTGACTATACTGGGGAAAAAAGTCTAATAGTACTTAACCTGTTTGCATTCTGTGCTTAACAATCATATTTAAGTGCTCATTTTTGTAATGAAATGTATATTGCACAAAATAAATTTTAAAAAAGGAACAGTGCTGAATAACTACAGGATTGCAGAAAACTTTCAAAATCTAATATTTCCCTTTAACATGATTTTTTTAAATGAAATGATTTCCTGAAAGTTATTATTATTTTCCTGGTACAATTACTTTTTCAAAATATTTTTAGAAAATAATATTGGAAAATTTTTAAAGTTTTTTGCCTATAATATTTTCTTTAACAAAGAAAAAAATATACTTAAATTTTATACAAATCTTGAATAAAGTAACGTGTGTTAAAAAGGATGGAAATTTATATGTTGAAAAAGTAGTAATAAGACAACAAAATTTAAGGTATTGCTCATAAACGTAAAGAATTCAAACAAATTGACATATAAAGTAGTTGTTTGTGTTTAACATGAACAGAAAATTATTGATTTTAGACATCTAATTAATATACTATAAGGAAGAGAACTATGCTAAAATAAACTTTAAAAATGTATATCTAAATGATAGCATACTTTACCTTCTTCCTTATGACTTATTTGTCCAAATACATTTTTAATTTAGCTTTAAGATTTAACAGTAATCGGGAAGTGAGTTAATCTTGTTAGTTTTGGTTTTTGAAAAAATGCTAAAGTTGTTTTAAATAAATGCTCATTTTATCTATCATGCATAAGTGACAACATTTCTTAATATGCATGCTATTAACAGCCTTAGATATTTTATACTCTTTAAAATGGAATTAATGAATGTAATGAAAACCAGAATTATTAAGCTTATTTACCCAAAGATAATTTCATTCAAATTAAAACTTTTTATTTTGAAGATTATTTATTGATTGAATTGAACAAAGATTATTTATTGTTTATTACTTATTAAAAATTCGTTTGGCAAGTTTTATAATAGTGTGCAAAAAATATTGGGGGTTTGCTTAAATAGTTCCATAGATATTTTGAAATATCCAAAACGTTGAATTAACATTAAGGGAACTCCCAAATTAATGTTTCATTGCATGAAAATGAAGTTTTTATTTTTGTGTGTGTTTTCTGTCAATCCAGTTTTATTTGACGTTAATTTTTTGATTTTAAACAAGTTTAAAGATGACTGACTGAGATATTTTTGTTTCAGATCATTACAAAAACATCTTGACACTTTAGAACCAGAAAATGCTTCCAGTTTAGGTGCTTTAGATGAGATTGCTACCACAATTAAAACTAATGAGGTAAAAATTTATCTTAAATGTCTTTTAGGTGTGTGCATATTTTTATTTCTAACAGCAATGCCATCAGTAAAATATTAATTACCTCACAAGAAATGTTTGAAATTAAAATAATTTTTTCTATAGAAGAAATTTCTTGTTTGAATGAGAATTTCTTGTTTATTGTCTTGTTTCAATTTAAATAGCAACTCTAAAAAGAGTTGGGCCCCTGGATAAAATTGTAAAAAAATTTGTTGCTGTGTACCATTTTCTTACTCAATTATATATTTTTTTGATGCAGGAACATACCCTCCAACTGCTACGGAATTTCCGTAGTTTCAGAAATCTTCTTTTCTGACGGTAGCAAAATTAATGTCTTAATATTTAAAAAAAATTAATTTTAGCCTAACTTGTTCACTATTATTTATAAAAGTGCAGGCCATATGGCTAGATTCTTAAGTTCTGATAAAAGTTTTATGAGAGATCCATTTGCTTTAAAAATTTTTACTTTGGTTCGCTACCACTAGAAAGAATTATTTTCAAAATCCTCATAAGTTGGAGGGTATGCAGGAATGCCTGTATGAAAATTCGGGAAAACCTGGGGAGAACCTAGTCATAACATCCAATCATTTCAAATTATTATTCATATTCTTTATCATCAGTAAAATTTATCTCACTTCTTCAGGATCTAAACCAGATCTAGTTACATTCTCTGTGTCTAAGTTAGGTGTACACAACTGTGTCTTATTTTCTTTTGTTAAATTTACTACTTACGTTAGGGACAACAAAATGAAAGATCAAGGTTGATCTATATAATATGAGCATAAAAAAGACACTTGACTCATTAGTAATGCATGCAAAGAGTATGGTATTAAGAAAAAAATTAAGTAAACAAATTGTCAGCATTAGTTAGAATGTCTTTAAAATAATAAAAATCTGTGGCCACACATCAAAACTAGCTGCACAGGCTGGAAACTGCTAAAGTAGAATATCAGTAATTTTATGTCTCCCCCCCCCCCATTTTTANTAAATTGTTTTTGCAAAGGTCCATCCTATTTGAAGCAATGAAGACATTTGTAAAAATCATAGGTGGAACACAAAAATAAAATTAAACAGCATCCTCTGAAATGAATAATCTTCTACTACAGGAAAAAGAACTACAGCTCTGTTTTGTCTGGGTAAAACTAATCAAGAATGATCAACGAAAAAATAATTCTGAAAAAATCAAATTGCATTTTTTTTTTGTTCACTTTATGCAGCTGTTTTATTAGTTAAGTGTATTTAAAATTCCTGTCGAATTTAATTCTTTTCTTATTTTGTTTATCAATTGATAAAATGCTTATAAACGAGGATAATAATTTAGAAGGAGGAAAAGTTATTATCTGCTCCTTATCACAAGCCTTTTATATCCTTTAAAAAAAAAAAAATTCTTGGAGATTTCTAAATTCTGCAATAATGCTTTAATTTTCTGAACAACAAAATTTGAATTGCAAAATTATGGAGATTTAGAAGGTTTTAAACTTTAATTTTTAGTAAATAAAACATATTTAAAAAACATAAAACACAAAATATTTACTCTTCGGGTGCATCTTTAAGATGGGGATCCATACCATCAAGTGGAATCCCCTTTTGATAAAAAAGAACCCATAAGTTTGATAGTCTTAGGTAATAATGGCAACCTGTAGTTTCCAAAATCTAGTGGAATCATTAATCAGTTTCAATAACCTCAGTCATAGCCATTACAAATTTTAAAAGTTGTCTGCTTTCTTTCAGTTTACTTCACGATTAGATACAGTGGTCAGTTACTGTGATTCTGAGATATCCGAAGTCGCAACATTCATAAAAAATAACCAACAGGTATTTTATAGTCTCTAAATTTATTTCCTACTCAATTTTACTTATTTCCTACTAAATTATTTCTTTATCTTTACAGAAACAAGAATCAAGCTTTGAGATGATAAAAGATGAAGTTGTAGCTAATGAAATAATTACTCAGAGTAATTATGAATCAAGGAAAACCAATCTAAAGGTAAACTTTTGTGTATACAGTATAAGTTTTTTCAATAAAAAATGAGATTAAGTGCAATAGTGTTTGACATCATTAATAACAATGAATGTTAAGTTTTAATAGTAAGTTACCGAAAAGGGAAATGGGAGGACACAATTAATATATGGCCAACAAAAGGCACTTTATTTTGAAGTGTGTGGTAGAATTTCTAGCAAAGAACTTTTGTTAGGAAGATTAGAACTTTGTCGCAGACACACATTTTGCTTTATTTAAGAGGTTAAAATTTTAAGAGAGATAACTTAAACTTGTTATAAACATGCTAATTTTGCATCTTTATATTATAATTGTTATACTCGTTTTATCAAGTTTTTAGTTATTTATTTTGCAAACTTATTTTTTACGGTTAATTAACATTCTTAGATTTCATGAAGCCTGAAATTTTCTGTGATTTTTCATTTTTTATTTACTTTGTGAAAAAATATAAGCGTTAAAAAATAAAGACTTGTAGTTTACTGGTAATTCTAGCTCTTTTCAGATTTATTTCCACAACCTGGAATATAAATCATTTTAAAACTGATTCAGGGCTGCCACTCCACGGGAAAAACCTGGAAAATACAGGGAATTTTTTTAATTTTTTTTTATTAAAAACTGAGAAAATACAAGGAATTTCGTTTCTTATTTTCGTCTTTTAAAAAATTTTGACCTCTAAAAGCGTAAAATGTGGAATTTTAAAGGATGATATTTCAGTTATACTAAACTATTTCATTTACTATAGCATTATTTAGATATATTCAGCTGTTCCTTTTTTCCTCTGAGTTTTCCCACGAACTACTTTTTCTTTAAAAAAAAATTTTGTATCTTGTAAGAAACAATAAATCCATATTTATAGCATATTTTTGTGTTGATTTTTTAATATAATTTTTAATTTTCACGAATTATTTCTAAATTTTCACAAAATAGGTACCTCTCAAAAAAACCTAGACAGACCCCTGAAAATGTTACTTTTATCTGTAACTGTTTGAGTTTTATTAAAAATACTTAATTTTTCTTCTTAAAATATTAAATAATAATTTGTTTTGAAAATAGAATAAGTGAATGAAAAAAGAAGGGAAAAAAATGAAGATACTTAAAGAAGCTCAAAGTAAATTAAGCTTTGTTTCATTTGTATATAAAATTTATATTGAAGAGCAAACTACTATTTAATTTTTTAGCAATCATCTTAAGTCTTTCGTTTATCGATTTATCTTTTCTATTTTTGAATATATTTCCTGAAACAGTTTTCTTAGAAAAAATTGTTTTTGACTCTACTTTATAAATATTTCGATCCTATAACATATGTCCTGTAAAATGAAAAGCGCTATTAATTTTTGTAATGTTTTCTTTCACAGGAAATTCAAGATTCTGTGAGTGATGCTATAAAGTGTGACATTTTGCACCTGGATGATCACAAAGTAAATATACTTAAGAAAATGTCTGGAGCAGAAACTATCATCAATGCTTCTAGGCAGAATTTACAAGATGATAGTCAAAAAGTGAGCAAAGAAATACTCCAGAGAGATTTGGCAATTGAAAAATTCATCACTGAAGATTTAGAAAAAGATATTCCTACAGGTGAGTATTTAATTTATAAAGAATATTTCGTTAAACACCTTAATTAAGAATCCCGATTTAATGAGAAAAATTTAGTTTGTTAAAAGCCTAGTTTCAGGGCCAGATTCTTGTGAACTTGGGCCAGTGTCCCAAAATGTGTTTTTCTATTTGTTTAATTAATTTTTTCAAAAAATTCAGAATCAAAGCAAAATCTACATAAATTTTTAGAATATTACTACTTATGCAATAAAGAAATTTTTAATTATGAATCTTCTATTGAACACTAATGATATTTCTTGGAAAATAGATAAAAACATTCTAATTGTATTCATATAAATATAACCTAAGCATGAAAACTAAAAGATTATTATTAATTAAAATAATTAATTATAAATCAAACTAATGTCTCGTAAAATCTAGAAGTATGCTAATTAAATACGGTTCTTGTTGTTTCTAATGCCACTAGCTAATATCAGCAAGCCTGCATTAGCAAGCAAGATGTTGGTGAAACCAAGCAAATTTAAGGCTGAGGGTGCGTTTCTTGTTTTCAGTGGCGCCATCTATGGACAAGAGAAAAACTTCAGCCACACACACATCACATCCCATTTATAGGGCGAACCTATTCATTCATCCGTCTACCGATCATTATTTTGACCTGAAACAGAGAACAATCAATCTCCAATATTTCTACCTCCATAGATATTGATTTGTTTTGGGAACATGGATGACTTTGTGACCCAACAGATTTTACTGCACAGGGCTGACAGGGAACGAACTCATGACTTCTTGAGCTTGGGTCCAACTCCCTACCCAGACTGTCCGTTCCTTCAAATACTGTTAAAAAATAAATATCGATAACAAGCATTCAGCGCCTCTTCTGAGACTGCTCAAATCTGGTATATCTGTGGGATTAAACAAGAAATGTTCTTTCAATGTCTTGAAATTTATCAAAAAATGTTTTTTACTATTTCTAGAAATTTCTTTCTGTTTGAAAAAGGTTAAAAAGCATCCCTTTTGTTCCAAAATTATGTGTCGATAAACAATAAAGAGAATTAATGTGAAGCTTCTTGAATGCCTAGCACAGTCACCTGTTGCAATAATTTACAAAAGATTTTGATTTGCAAATCATGGAATCTACTATATATCTACTGATTTTCGTGTGCCTGTGAGCATGATCTCAAAACAAATATTTCCAAAATGTACTATCCAAGGTTGACAAGTATCTGCCGAGGTGGTTAAAACCACTGGTAGAAACCGGTTAAAACTGGCATGGCAGAAACCCTTTTCTGCCACATTTGTGGCAGAAATTTAGAAAATGACATAAAAGTAAGTACTGAGAATGACATACAATGGATAATTCATAGAAAAGACAATTAAATGTTAAACAAAGTACAATTTACAAGATTATTACCATTCAAAATCAAATATTGCATTGTTTGCACTCTGCAGTAATCTATAACAAAAGACAAGTTTTGATGCAGTTTCTAAGCCTAAACAATTTCTCAATTTGCTGTGCACGAACGAGAAATTTGAGAAGATTCTCTCAAGTCCAGCAGAACTAGCAAGCATTGCCATCAAGGAACAAGCAAGATTTCTGAAACTTTCATCTCTTGCATATTTTTTAAATCTGGACTAATATAAACCAAATAATATATATTTACAAACAGTGAATTAAAAAGTTTGTTACAGTTACATGAAGTTACATTTTTCAGTTTACTTAAAATGTCATTAAGCAATTACTAGAACTAATATAGAAGTTTTTTAGTTTTTACCGGTTATAACCAGTTTCTGCTGGCAAAAAGCCAACCCTGCACTATCTAAAGTTGATGAAATTGTTAAACTCTGTTTAAAACATAATTTGCTGAAAAATTTCAAATTTTCCAGAAAGCAATAGGCTAATGTATTTCGTGCATAATAATAATTAATGTTTAATAATAATAGCCTGAGATGTTATTCCAAACAATATAAAACTAAGATATTTTTATAAATATTTTTTGTACATGATGTTGAAGGCTTTTTTGATAATTTCTGCTGACTCTTGTGTAACAAGCACCCGATTTAAATGGAAAATTGTTTTGGTCCCTTTGTTCTGTCTATGTTTAACTACATCTTGGTCCTTAGAGATAATGTGCTTTATTTTTATTGAAATATTAAAAAAATTTTAAAATTTTAAGAACATTCTGTTAGACTTTGGAAAGTAACATTCTTTGACAACCTGGTATTTCAAATTCCTAGGCACTTATTTCTCAAAGCAGGGTCCTCTAATTAAAAACACAGTTTTGAAAACCACAGACGTTCCTACAGATTTGGGTTTAGAAACCTGTTATTTTATAATTCATTTGCTTTATTAGTCTTAATCAATGTATTAAATAATTTCAAAATATCATTTAAATTTTCTCTCCCAATTTTTTTTTTCCTTTGCTATTTCATTTGACTAAAAATGAATGTTTATCTAATGCACTCTTGCTTGGATTTAACATGTTAATCTTTTATAGGCACTACTCCACAAAGGAAGGAATACTATTATTCTAAGGATTTAATTACTCTTTCCCCTGATGACGAGAAACTGCGCATTTTACGCAAATTCCGAGATGAGCACACGAATAAGGCTGTGAACTTACCGATGGACTGTAGTTTCGATGAAAGCGATGAGGTTAGAAGTCCTTTCAACCTAGCTTTTCCTGAAGTAATCACTACTGAATCAGCATTGAATGATGGTGATGAATATTCTACTGACTGTGACACTTTATCCAATGCTTCTTCAATGGTAAGTATCTAATTGTTGTTTTTTGCGCTTAATTGGTAATGTACTTAGTACCGAGCCAAATTTTATTACCTAGTTATTACTCCCATTCAGTTTACCAATATCAGTACAATCATCTGATTTGTTGATCTGCTGATTTTCTCAAATAAAAATTTTCTCAACTATTTTTTTAAAATCATGAATTTACCCCCCCCCCCTTTTCACGATGCTCTGAATATCTGAATTTGTAACAGTCTCCACTTTCGGTGGTATTTTATTTAAATATAAAAAGGTTTATGTTCTTTAAAAATTATGGTGTTCTNTATGATTTATTTTTGGGCTACAAAATGTTCGAATCCGCTACTTTTGGAGCTCCCATTCGCTACTTTTTAATCTTAAGTTCTGGCAACACTGCTGAAGAAAGCCAGTTATTGGCGTATTTTTTTTATTCCGAAATGAGAACAGAAAAATCGTGAGTACTTCTTTCTGGTGAACAAGAAAAGTATCTTTAGAATATAAAGCTGCAGAAAAAAAGAAGAAAAATTATTTACTTTTTTATTTTTTTCAGCTATTTTATTGCTTCAACTCTTTCTTTACTCTGTTTCTTAAATTTAAAATCTATAAATATAAAGATGCAGAGTATAACAGTTTTATTTCTACCTATCATTTCAATTAATGTTATTATAATGCTTTTTTAAATTTATTGTTGTGTTTTTTGTTGGAGAAAACAGTTACTTCGTTAAGTCATGAAAAATTCTAGAAATTAATAATGGAAAGTCATGAATTTGAAAATCTAAAATGTAGCAGATACCCTGTTTATTGTACTTAAATGCCTTTTATTCAAAGTAGTTTTGCTGTTATAAAAAAATATTCTGTTTTTTTAAAAATGTTCTCTTTTTTTTTTTTTTTTTTTTTTTTTTTTTTTTTTTTTTTTTTTTTTTTTTTTTTTTT